TATGACAGTTTGGTATCAGAGCTCTAGGTTACCCTAGGCTTGTGAGAGTTTAGGTGATCCTTGGATTGTGGAAACATGGGTTAGCTGGTTTAGGTTGGTGGTTGAATTTATTTTAAGTATTTATGAATGAATTCTTTTTTTGTGTTTAACTTGAAGGTGATGGTTGGAAAGTATAATTTGAGAAGTGCTGAGCCCTATGGCACAGGAGGAGAAACAACTGCTAACGCGGTAGCAGGAGCGGCGGCTGCTACCGGGGCAACCAATACATTGTAGGTTAATGTTCACCTTCTCTGTGGTCTCTGTCACCAGCTTTGGCCCTAACAACGGTGCATCTCCTACCTCCATCCAACAAGCAGGTGATCGACATGGCCTTCCATACAAAGCCTCAAAAGGTGCCATCTCGATACCGGAGTAATAGCTATTATTATAAGCAAACTCTACCAATGGCAAGTGTTCTTCCCAACTACCACCAAGATCAAGGACACAAGCTCTCAACATATCTTCTAAGATCTGATTTACCCGCTCGGTTTACCCATCCGTCTGAGGATGATAAGCTGTGCTTAGGTCTAACCTAGCACCCAAAGCATGTTGAAAACTCTTCTAAAACTCTGCCACAAACAATGCATCACGATCCGAAACTATAGAAATTGGCGCGCCATGAAGTCGCGCCACCTCCCGAATATACAACCTAGCCAGTTTATCCGCAGTTCTGTGAACATTGATGGGAATAAAATAAGCAGACTTGGTGAGTCGATCTACTATCACCCAAATAGATTCATTGCCTCGCTTAAATCGCGGCAATCCATCCACGAAATCCATAGAGATGTACTCCCATTTAATACTGTATATATCCAAATTTTAGGTATTTTCGTAATTATCATTTTAGGGTAAATAATATTGGGGGAATAACAAATCAGTATATATTTTGAAGAAAAAAAAAAAAGATTGATGATAAACTTTACAAACTTTAATTATTAAAAGAATAAATATTTTCATGTGTGTGTAATTATTTTTTTAAAAATATAACTAATTTATATTTTTCTCAAATATATTTGTGGCCTATTAATTCAATTTTTTGTTATGTAAAGTATCTGGGTCAACTTTTGTTATGTAATTAGTATTTTTTTATATAGATTGAATGATCATGCTCTTATAAATTATTATAAAATTAAATTGAATAGACACATCTATTTATTGAGAGACACTTTGTCTTGTATATAAGGTGTAAATTTTTTATTATTTGCCACATATACAATTTTTACTTATGTTTACTGTATAAGTGAGAATCCAACCACTTTTTAATAACACACATTTGTCTTTGTTATGAGAACTTCTACAAACTTAATTTTTTTGTAGAAATTTGTTTAGAAATTACATATGTGGTTAAGATTTATTTTAGAAGTAAGACCCATCATTTAAGAATTAAATCTATCATTCATCAGAATTGTCAATAAATTCTAGGTTTAGTTTCTTCTTTCTTACAATTTCTACTCAGTTATTCATCGGCCAAATCACATTTGTACATCATTAATTTACTTTATACCAATGGTTCTACAGCATTTAAATATTGAACCTCTCACTTTTCTCATCCAATATGAAATACTATTTTTGTATTTGATTGATAAATCTACATAATTTAAATTCACTATGAAATATTATTTTTCTAATATCTATTTTCTTTATATTATTATAAAATTTTTCATTTTAAAAATATAATTACAAATATCACGGGCAACGCACGAATATACCACCCCTAGTAATTATAAAAACCAAAATAAAAAAAGCCATTGCCACATAATTGTGTAAGAGTTTAGAGTATTGAAATTTTGTTGCTAAAACATTTCCTTATCATGTATATATAAAGTATCAAGTGCATCAAATGTTTTTTGTTTTTTGTTTCTTTTTTTTTTTCAATTGTAAAAAGGAAAGAAAACATGTACTCACACAATCGTATAATCTGATAATAATTTTGAAAGGATCAAACATACGACACATTCCAAAATGCCTTGCCTTAGGAATAAAATATTCTAGCATATAAAAAAATAGTATAAGAACAAATCTATATATCTATATATTATATAAGCTAAAGAAAAAAATTTAGTGAGAAGAATTAGAGAGTTCTAAGTGCTCAATCTAAATTTTTTATTTTTTAATTTAAAAAATAATTAATAAATCACACACTAACACTTTCTTTTTTAAACAAAGAGTGTATTTTTTTATTCCTAAAATCATTCATTCCTTACCATCAAACAAGGAAGAAGTTTTCAATTAAAAAAATGATAATTAATAAATCACACACTAAAAGAATGAGTTTTTCAATTAAAAAAATTAATAAGTCACACTCAAAAAATATTTCGTCATAAAATATTTTCTATTAAAATATTTTAAATTCTTCACCATAATATATAAAATAATTTATATAATTAAAATTTCATAACATGTTTTTTTTTTTTTTTTTTTCTCACCATGGCTATTACTACTCAACGTATATATCAAATCTCATTATTTTTATATACAGTAAACGTTAATAAGGTTTCTTTAAGGTTCAAACTCTCAACTCAACTTTTTTTAAAAAAATTTTAATAATGAAAATACTAAGTGTCATTATGTGTTGTATTTTAATTAGTTCATAATTAAATTCATGGAGTTTTATATTAAACCCTTAAATTATGCCACCATAATTACCATTTCAAAGCACTTCCTTAATTTATGTTTACCATATCAGAGTTATTTCTAAAATTGTTGCCCTAATATTTCATTAATGCATGATTTTGTTAGATTCATACATATATATATATATATATATATGGAAAATAATTAATTCTTTAACTTAAAATTTAAACATTCTTCAACATGGCCTAGGCTTCTTTCTGGTCCTCTATTGGATTGGAGAGGTTTTGTTGGGGCTTTTGGATATACTTTTGGACCCCATTTTGATCATTTGAACTATTCATATTTTAGAACTCGTTGAGTACATCATCCAATTAAAAAAGTAATTGATCAAATAATGGCAACCATATGTTTTTATCAGTTTTATATGAAAAAAAAAATAGATGGTGAGAAAATAAACAGTTTATACAAACACTACAACAAAATGCACATTCAGTGACAAAAATTGGCGACTAAAAAAATTTAGTCGTCAAAAGTTGTGGAATTGGAGACCAAAATTTTTTTTAGTTGGCAAAAGTAAAATATTTAGCTACTAATTTTTTTTTAGTTAGGTTATATTGGCTTTTGGAGACAAAAAAAAAATTTAGTCGCCGTATATTGAGTTTTGGCTACTAAAATCGTTTTGTCGCCGAATGGAAAATAAACAAAATATATTTTTACCTTTGGCGACCAAAATTTTGGTCGCCAAAAGTTTATTTTCAGCGACAAAAAAGAATTTGTCACCAAAGAACTAAATTTGTTTGGAAGGAGACATTTCAAATATTTTGGAGGGATTTATAAAATACTTTCAGCGACTAAAAATATATTAGTCGCTATTACTCAATCTTTGGTTGCAAAATAGTCTTTATGTATTATTATTTGGCAACAAAAAATTTATTCAGTCGGTAAAGGTTGTAGCATTTGTTTTAGAGAGAAACAAATTATTTTTGGCGCCCGATATATTTGCACTCTGTTCTGCCTCACACACACACACACACACACACACACACACGATATACACTTCTGTCTCAGACATTACCAAACCTCACCCCCACTCACCACCAGCGCTCGCCACCGTCGCACTTCGCCACCGCCACTTGCAAATCACCACCGCCAGATAATCACAAGTATTTTTCTCTCTCTGTCGCTCTCAGTTTCTCTCCCTGTCTGTCGATCTCGCTCTCTCTCCCTTTCTATCCATCTCAGCCTCTCTTTCTCTCTCTCTCTCTCTCTCTTTCTCTTGGCTCTACTAGTTTCAAGTATATATATTGAACTCAATTTGTTCACGGCATTAGCATTTCTTTGGTATCAGCAAATGGAGATGAGCTTATGCGACCAATGGGTAGAAGAGGCACTTTCCAAGTTGGAATCTCTGAAACTCCTCCGTTCTCTTAGACCCATGCACCGACCCATCAATGAACAATCGAAACCCATCGATACCCAGGTGAAGAATGCTTCAAACTACGATGAATTCGAGGTGTTCGACAATTTGCGGCAATAGGATAGGACATCTGTTGAAGTAGTGATTGCTGATAGCACATTTCAGAGATGGGTTCGTGAGGTAGAAGTTGTGGTACGGTTAATTTAATTGGGTTTCATTTTGTTTTCTTGTGTTTTATCTTTTTGTGGGTTTTTTTTTTATTTGAATGAGTACTGAGTTTTTGAATTCAGCACATTAACATCGTTTTCATTCAATGTTATTTGTGGGAAAATTATATGGTGATGTATGAATTATGGTCTGAATTATGGTCTGAATTATGGATCATGTGGTGCTTTGTTATGAGAATTTGTGGTGAACTTGGTTGTGAGACTTTATGGTGATTTTAACTCTCTTTTTTTTTTGGAGCATTTTCCACTCTTATTGATAGCCCAATGAGCTATTATATTAGTATGACCCTTTGATATTTTGTATGGCTGTAGGAGATGATGCTGACTGTGGCAACCAAGAAGCTGAAATAGGGGCCTGCCCTCAAAAGTTTAGAAAGCTACTTTTATTTTCTGGAAATGATTACTTGGGCTTGAGTTCACATCCTACAGTTTCAAAAGCTGCTGCAAAGGTGGGTTTAATTATTAATGGTCAACAACATTTTATTTACTTCGTTTGTATTAACTATTTTTTAGACATTTGCCTAAGTTGTTTTGGCCCTCCTATTTTAGGCAGCCCTAGAACATAGATTGGGCCCAAGGGTTTATGCTTTAATCTGTGGGTATACAAGTTGATCACTCGATGATCTGCTAGGAGTCAAGATCGTTTGTACATTTTATCAATTTATTTTTACATTTACTTACTGAAAAGATTAATTTATTCTTCTCCGTTGTGTTAACACTTGCTGGTATGGAATAATGAAACATTACAATAGAGGGACTGCTATGTGTAAACATGAACAAATGTGTGCTGGAAACATGATCAGTATGTTGGATCAATAGCAACATATCATGTATAAACTGCATCTTCTGAATTCACATGTACAATATATTCTTCAATATGGTTTGATGTTTTGGGCTGTTGATGTTTTCTGAATTTGTATTCCAGAGCATGGTCCCATTATTTAGTTCAGAAGATACGGTAAATCTTTGACTTGTAAGCTTAGGGAACTAGAAAGTTTTACTTTGGGATTACAATTCAAGGAAAAGGAAATTTAAGTCTGATTCAGAAAATTAGTGTAATTTATATTTAATTATTTGTAACATTTGTTTGCTTTAGTTTGTGGCAAAATGGGTTGTCTCAATTTTACTGCTGTGAAAGGTCACTGATGCTCATAATATTCTCATCAAGATGTATGCTTATATTACAACCTTATGCATGATATAATTAATAAAGTGATAACGTGCAGTAAACTTGTTGAGTTTAAGATGAATTGTTTATGGCCTTAAATTATATTACAGATTTAAGGTTAAAGATCCAATCATAGCTGCATGTAGCGAGAACGGAGGAGCAAAGGCCTTATAGAAAAGTTTAAAGTTGGAAGCGGGGGCTGGAGTGGGAGTGGGAGTGGGAGTGGGAGTGGGAGAGAGAGCTAGGCCACTTTAGGAGGCCCCTTGGGTGTTTTGATTGATTTATTTGTTTGAGAACAATTAAGATTGCGGACCAAGATAAATATTATAATGATTTCTTTTAATGAAATTTGGGAAGAAATCCTAGGGGTATTTGGTTTACTTTTTCGTTAACCAGAGATCCTTTCTAATTATAAATGTCCTATAGGTAGCATTTTCCATTGGAAGATTGACTTACAAATAAAAATAAGACACTAGCTATTATTTTTCTTTAATTCTGGTTTTATGATTTCTGCACCTATTTTATCATATATCTTTGACAATATAACTGCTTCTTGTTGCTATGTTTTTAGAACTTCAGATTTTTACGTCTTTATAATTTATATGTATCCATAGTTTGTCTAGATCAACACTCTGCTTTAACTTTCTCTTAGAGGAGAAATTTGGGGGTTGAATTGAATATATTGTCTTTGCACTTAATTAATATTATTGTTGAATTTTTCCTAGAAAAAGAAAAATGAAAGCATTTCTGGTGGGTTTGTTTAATGTTTGGCTGGAATTGAGGAGATAGAATGAGTTATGGGTTGTGATATTTGTGCTGCTTGTCCCAATGGGAAGTCCTTCGCTTCTAAACAACAAATTATTATTAATTCTCTGTTTTGCAGAAGGTGACTGCTTAGTTTTGTGCTAAAAAGGACACTAGCTTGCCAAAGGAACTCAATTTTTGTTGCTTAGGAATTGGCCGTCACTGTCACGTTGTTTTTTCCAAGCATGTTTTAAATGTGGTTTGTGAATCCATGTCATTTCACTTATAAGTTGTTTTCTATTCAATTGAAATCCCATATTTGAGGGAACCTCCTGATTGCATAAATTCAGATGCTATATTAGTCCTTTTGGCATGGAAGAGGAGTGCTTGATATAAGTAACAGTCTTGTTACCTGGTTTATGCCTTTCGATGATTGGAGGTGAGTAGGTTGTGTGAGCCTTTATCAACTGGATCCTTCTCCAGATGCAGAATTTGCTGGATGAATCACCCCAACCCCCCCTCACCCTTTGAACTATTTCTTATGTATTTTGGCTTCAAGTAGATGAAAGTAATCTTGATAGAAAAAGGCATATACTTAATGAGGATAATAACAATTGCTTATGCAACATCAATGTTCTCTTTTTTCTTTTTAGACCTCAATATTTGTAAAGTTTATATGGTCTTTCTTTTACCTCGTTATTTTTCAAAACAATAAATAAATAAATAAAATAAAAATCTATGCTTGTGCATAAGTTCCTCATGTTTCTCTCATTATTTCGAAAGTAATTTTAACATTTTATAGGCAAACTGATATGTATTTCATAAACTTGATATGTGATTAACATATAGACAAACCACTTTTACTTATTGTAGGGCAAATATGATGAGACATTAACCATGCCCTGTTGCTTCTGGGATTTTTTCCTCTCAAGTGCGTTTAGCGAATATATCTATTGCATGTTATTCACATTACAGACATGTCCTCATAACCAGGGGTGGGCCAACTCTTGACGAGGCCTGTGGTGTTTATGCTTACTACCGTCAATGGCTGGTATTGAGGTGTTGTTGGGAAAGGATTGCTCAACTAGGTGCTATTTGGAGAATAATTGTTGCCGATATTACCGCCATTCAACCATTCAGATATCTCGCCCATTATGTGTTGGGTTTTTTGCATTATAGAATTATCTCTATCTTTTGGGTGCTATTTGCTTGTGAAGACCCATAAGGGTAATGCAAAGATTTTGCATTATATAATTTTCTTTTATAATTTCAAATATGCCAATGCTATTCGGTCAATACTAATGATTAATTTTTTTTCTTACAGATCAATTTTGGCAAGGAATTGTAGATATTCCTTTTTTGTCTAAGGAGGACGTGGTTTTTGTACTACTTTTTATTCTGTATGAAATTATTATTTTCAGTTGGAATATACTTAGTTTGTATAAAATTTGACATAAAAAGTTATTCTCTGTTTTGGATGGTTGTAAGTGAAATACGTGTTGTGGAATGGGTGATAATATGTATGTATTGTTTTGTTTGTATACCTGTTACTGGTTGCGTGAGATACATACAGGTTGTGGATAAATTAATTAAAATAAAAAAAAATATAAAATGATTTTTTTGGCGACTAAACATACTACAAGATAAAGCACATTCGGCGACCAAATTTCCCGACAAAAAAAATTTGGTCGCTGAAAGTATAGCTTTCAACGACCAAAACAACATTAGTATAGCCAAAAGTAAAGCTTTTTGGTAACTAAACAATTTTAGTAGCCAAAAGTCTACAATTGGCAACTAAAAATAAGTTTGGTCGCTGATTATATGGGTTTTAGTGACAAAAAATTTTAGTAGCTAAAAGTCTACAATTAGCGACAAAAAAATAAGTTTAGTAGCCAAAAGTGGTCATTTTTAGCGACTAAAATTATTTTGGTCGCTGAAAGTTAATTTTTTATTTTTATTTTGCTACTAAATAGTTTATTTTACATAAATTGTGTAATAAAATAATTATGTTTATACATATACTTTTATATAAATATGAGTGTATGCACTATATAAATAATATATGTCACATTTATAGTCATGTGGTGCTATAGAGGCACAGTGTGAAGAGTGTGGTGCATAAGGTTTATGGTGCGAGAGGTTGGCGATTTGAGTCTCCGCAAAAGCGGATCTAATTGTTCAACAACAAATTTTTTTTTTTTTCACGTTTGAAGCTTTTGGCGAGTAAAGGTGTTGGTCGGCAATTCCTTGACTGTTGACGACTAAAACATTGGTCGGTAAATGTATAATTTTAAAGAAATATAATTGACTTTTTGGTCGCTAAAGACTTGCTTTTTGGCGACCAAAGGTTTTTTGGTTGGCAAAACCCTCCAAGACCTTTCCCGACAGGGTTTTGGCGATAAATGTAGCGACCAAAATTTTTTGTCACAGAATGTCATTGGCGACTAAAAAACAAACAATTGGCAACCAATATTTTAGTGGGATTTTTGGTGAATCCCCCCTTTTGGGCCTTTTTATTAGGGTAAAGGATAGCCCAATCAATTTTCTTTCAAAAAACCCGTGCAGGAAAAGCCTACCTTAATAAGGACATTTTATAATTTTTATTTTTTTTTATCACAATATTACCCTTCTATATATATGTATCATATATTTGAAATATTTGAAATCTGAGCTGAAGATCTTGCATGAACGAAGTCGATGAAGACGAAGATGATAGACGATCTCCAAATCTAAAGATCTCACAGCCGAACATCTCTCACTTGGTCAACAATAGACGATCTCACCGCCGATGATCAACACTCTCAATTAAACGAGAGTTTCATTGAGATTTGTGACTGTTGATCGAGCTGTAAAGGTTTTTCTTCTCAATTAGGTATGTTGATTTGTTGATTAATTTTTTTTATTTTTGTTTGTTTGTTTTTTTTTTATTTATTTTTGTTGTGTTTGATCTGATTTCGTTTGACAGAATCAGAGTAAAATTTTACTCTGGTTCTATTGCTCTGTTTTTGGTTTGAGAGAATTAGAGTAAAATTTTACTCCGGTACGTGCTCTGTTTAGAATGATAGTAAAATTTTACTCTGGTGTTAGAATGACAGCATAAATTTTGATTATTAAGAAGATATGAGAGATATGTTCTTTTAGCTTATGCGTTTTAGTTATCAATTTTTAACTAGCAAAAAATTACACCAAACAAGTTCATTGTCTTCAAAAATTTTACTTTTGTGCAGAGTAACATTTTACTTTTATATTCAGAGTCTAACATTTTACTTGTTTTTCAGAGTAAAATTTTACTTTTATACAGAGTGAAATTTTACTTTTAAATTAAGAGTGTAACTTTTTACTTGTTTTTCAGAGTAAAATTTTACTTTTATACAAAGTAAAATTTTACTTTTAAATTCAAGGTGTAACATTTTAATCTTAGATTCAGAATGTACAATTTTATTCTTATTTCAGAGTAAAACTTTACTCTTATGCAGAGTAAAATTTTACTTTTAGATTATTTTTGTAACATTTTACTCTTATGTCAAAGTAAAATTTTACTTTTATGCAGAGTAAAATTTTACTTTTAGATTCATGTTTCAAGTTGTGTTGGTGACACACTATATGAGTTGTCAATCTTTGGCAAACTAAATAGTAAAAATTAACTCTAAAATATAGTACAATGTTACACTAAACCACAGTAAAAATTTATCAATTCAAGCTAAACACAAATTGACTTTTGGGCTTGTAGTGACAGTAAAATTTTACTTTGATAGTGACAGTAAAATTTTACTTTGATTGACAGTAAATTTTTACTGTTAATTGATTGCAGATTTGTAAAATGGTTCCACCTCTTATGTTGTTATGCAAGTATGGTGATCGTACCATTGTGTTCAAGGTTGTGTCAAACTGCACGTTGAAGGATTTAACTGATTTCTTAAGTTATAAATTGAAGAAGTTTGATAGTAGTGGTTGCATACTGTTATCGTAATGTTTACCTGGACATTCGCAATGCATGATTGATGATGATTCTGATTTTCAGAATATGTTGTCGCTTGTTTATCCCCTTGGTGTTGACCGGGTTGATCTGACTATTGCTGAAATGGGCATTTCAAATGAAAAACATGGAGTTAGAGAATCAGGGGACGCTAGTGGATCCAACATTACTAATGATGAAATGGATTTACTCCCTATGTTTTGTCAACACGAAGAAAGTACTTTGTTGTCTTGTGGATGGGTGAATGGAATTACTCATGTAGATCAAAAATTTATTGGAGGTGCAAAGGATTTCCGAACTGCATTATGTAAATATGCCATTGAGATAGGATTTGATTTTGTGTATGTGACGAATGAGAAGTGTCGGGTCACTGCCATGTGTTCAATGCGGGAGTCCAAAGCTTGTTTATGGCGAGTACATGCATCTCTAGAAAGTGCTAATAATTTTTTCTACATTAGGACTCTACATGATGAGCATACTTGTGGAGCTGCAGTTCGTACTTCTAAAAACTCAAGGATGAGTTCAAATTTGGTTGCAAGTTTGATTGTTAATGAAGTTCGTGGGAATCCCCAAACTCGTCGAATTGATGTTGTGCGTCAATTTACAGATCAATACGGGCTCACCATTACGTACAATCATGCTTCGTTGGGAGTTGAGAAAGCTAGGACTACTACTTTTGGTGATTTCTCTATGTCTTATGATGAGATTCGATGGTATATGGATATTGTGATGAGCACAAATCCTGGTAGCTATTTGCATCTTGACTATAACCATCGAACTGGACAGTTCAAGAGGTTTTTTGTTGCATTTAATGCTTCCATTCAAGGGTTTAGACATTACCGTCCTCTATTGTTTATCGATGGAACTTTTCTGAAGGGGAAATATAAGGGCACCTTGTTAACAGCTACAGTGAAAGATGGGGATCAAGGTAGATATTACTATAATTTATTCAAAAATAACAAGTTACTTATTCTCAGAGTAACATGTTACTATTATTCAGAGTAAAAATCTACTATATTTGTCCTTTTCGTTTAATATACTTATTAATTGTAAAATGTTATTTTTCAGGTTTTTTCCCTCTTGCAATGGCAATTGTCGATACGGGGACTACAGACAGTTGGGAATGGTTTTTTATGCATTTGTCGAATATATTGTTGGATGAAAGACCAATTACCTTCATATCCGATCGGAACGCTAGACATTTGGAGGCTATACCCAAGGTTTTACCTACTGCTTACCACTATTTTTGTCTCCAACACTTGAAGGCCAATTTGAGGGATAGGTTTTCTGGTCCAAGTTTCAGCAATACTTTCAGGAGTAGAATAGTTTTTTTGTTTTCTTCATGTGCTTATGCTCCGACAGTGGGATGTTTTAATCAGTGCTTGAAAGAATTACAAGATGAGGGAAAAGGGATCGTTTGTGGGTTTCTATCCAATTTGCCTTTTGACAAGTGGACTAATGCATATTTTAAAGGACAAAAATACGATGAAATGCACTCGAATGTGGCAGAGTCTTTCAATTCATGGATCCGTCAAGCTCGTCATTTGCCCACTACGAAGATGATTGATTCAATTAGGTTGAAGATCACGGATTTGATGTCGAGACGGAGAGAACAAGCTAAGAAATGGAATACTTTTCTTTGTCCGGAGATGGATTCAACATTAGTACATGCTCTTAAAAGTGGAAGAACTAGGTTGGTTAGTCGTTCAAGTGATCATGTTTTTGAGGTTCAATCCCGGCCATCGGTTAGCGTTGACCTCTTGAATAGAACTTGCTCATGTTACCAATGGCAATTAAATGGATTTCTTTGTGCTCACGCGGCGACCGCTATCCAAAAGAGCGGAGGTGATTTGTATGCGCATGTGGAACTATTTTATTACACTACCAAGTTCAAAGCTTGCGATGCTGAGTCCGTTTATCCAATACCCATTGTTGAGAAACCTCTTGCAGCTATGGATGATCTTGTTGTCTTTCCTCCAATTTGTAAGAAGCCACCTGGTAGGCCAAGGAAGAATTGGATTACATCTAGGGGTGAGAAGATAAGACGAGTACAATGTGGTAGATGCGAGAAGTACGGTCATAATAGGAAGACTTGCAAGGAGACATTGCCATGAAAGACATTATTGATTTTGTAATAGAAGTATGAAAATAATGCAGTTCTTCTACAATAAATAGTCCATAGCAATAATATTTGTAAGGAGACATTGCAATAAAAGACATTTTTACTATGTTCTTGAATGATTGTCTGTTCAAGTTTCTGATTTTCTTTGTGATTGAGTTTGACATTGTAATATATTTTTTTAATGTGGTTGAATAAGTTTCATGTAAATAAACTTATAATGGAGTTTGTTCAGTAGGTGTGAAGGTTTGAAATGGTTGTGCTTAGCCTGTGCTTTCAAAGTAAATTTTTTTGGTATTTCAGAGTAAACTTTTACTTTATTGCAGAGTAAAATTTTACTTTTTCGAGAGTAAAACATTGTCTTCATTCACATGAAAGTAAAACTTTACTGCCTTTCAAAGTAAAA